AACCCTTGACCCTAAAAAATCAAATGAGATTACCTTCTGACCAAAAGCACTGCATTTGTGGAGTTTGAAGTTCAAGGGCCCATGGGTTGGAGAGTTTTTGATAGGACATTGTTTTGACCTACCTTAACCTTTGACCCCCTGACCAAAAATCAATAGGGTTCATATACTGGACAGAACAAAAGCTTCTATGCAGTTTAAAAGCCAAGGGTCTATGGGTTGTCAAGTTATTGATCGTAAAACATATGATCTTGAACTTTGACCCCTTAACCCCAAAATCAATACGGTTATTTAAAGGTAAAGACCAATGTACCTACGACGATTGAGGGCCAACAACCTATGGGTTCAGTGAAATTCTTACTTATATAATAGACTCCGAAACAATGCTTCTTCCAAATTGAAATTTTCTTTACAATCATGCAGTTTTCCCAAAAATCTGAACTTAAAACCAGCTTTATTACTTCTCAAATCAGTAATTTTAGCGATGATGTTTCCCAAAATGAAGAGGCTAAGGCCTCTTCTCAATTAAGTGTGAAAAACCATTTTATATACAAGGTCAATATGACCTTGACATTGATCCCAAAATCAAGTGGGGTGATCTACAGGCCAAGACGAAAGCACATGTCAAGTTAAAAGGTCACAGTACATTGAGTTGTTGAGTAATTAATTGGAAACCAATTTGACATTCAAGGTCAATTTGACATAGACCTTTTATTTAAATCCCCAAAAAACAAAAGGTGCAATTTGCTGGGCATGAACAATCCCCATAGCAATTTTACCGTTCCTAGGCCCAAACGTTCTATAGTTATTGAAGGGATATCATTTGTGTAACGGACGGCAGACAGACATACCGACAAGTGCAAAGCAATATACCACAACTAATCTAAAAGGCGGGTGGCATAATTAAACAAAGCCAGTATTTAGATTTACATTTTTTCAAGTTTTTGAAACCCTAAAAAAGTAATAATTTGTAATATCAGGACAAATATATTCTTATCAAAGGCTTTTCGTGGCTTTTCAACAGCAACTTAATACATATCAAACTGTACAAATATAAACGGCTATAAGGACTAAAGTTTAATATTATATCATGTATGACTAATTTTAAAAATGGCAAATACTAGGCTTAGACTTCACCTAAAAAGCAAAAAATAATATTACTTTAATATCCATTTTTTCTGATGTTCTAACTTGTTTTAATTAAATTACAAGATATTACCAGAATAGTGACTCAATTTGAGCCTGGCGCCGTTATATATGACACAAAGTATGCCGCTTAAATCACCAAAGAAAAGTTAACGTGCAGCTGCAGTTAAACTGCCACAAGGATGCAACAAAGTAAAATTATCTACAGGATTAAGAAAGACTAGAACATTAGGGTCTGATAAGCAACGGAATCATATGCACTTAAATATACATTACAAAAAAGATTAATGCACCCTTTCCGTGCATTAACATCAGCAGAAGCACGAGAACGCATTTAAAGCCTTCCTCTAACGGGCTCGGTATTTAACTTCTGCAGATGTTAATGAACACAAACATGTATAACATTTCTTTGAAAATATACAACCGAGTCAGTGATTCTGCGATTCGTCACTTTTTTCCGTAAAAAGGAATCCGGTTTCGTATTGATTTCAATGCGCATGTGTGATATGTTTTAATAATAATATCGTCATTGCAATCAGCGGTTTTGCAAAATGACAGAATCACTCATGCTCTCGTATTAACAAGAATTGTCGGTTTTATATAAAAGCTCTGAGATCAATAGTTTCATATGATTTTAACCTATATAGGTCTATATATCTATATGTCTATACTATAAATCAGGTGACCCTTGGGGCAGGGCCTATATTAAATAAACGGGCATATTCATGTCAGTTTCATGAAAATAAAGAAGACAATGCTACATGGTAAATATTGAAGCTGTAGACATTGTTTTGGTAGTAGGGCGTTTAACACAACTTTTCCGCGCAAGGTCAAACTATCATTCTTCTGATTGAGACGCCGTATCTTTCTGGACGAAATAGTTATGGCGAGCTAATCGAATTGTACATTCAAAAATGCAGTAGTAGTCATTGGATTATTTTTCTGCTTCTTATTAAATTCTTCCTTTGAAAATGCATTTTGTTTAAATATATAACAGATCACGTGCAGCAACATTATATCAGCCCTTATACCTATTTCAGTCTTTCAAGTAGGAAAATAATGCTCACAATATGGCAAAACACAGCTAGCTTTTTAAATAAACAATTGACGGTACTCCAAACCCCATAAATGTCTGAAGTTTGATAACTTGCCTTAAGAAATTGATAATTTATATGTATCAATATAACATATTGAAATTTAATGAATTAGCATATTTTTTATGTAACTCCAGTTTTAGTTTATACGATTGTCTCGTTTCAATAACTTATGATCTCAATAATCATGAAAGCCAGAGTTATGTTACTTGCCCAGATCATGTACTTTGTATTGATTAGTAAGTGTGTAAATTTATAAGCCATTGGTACAGGTAGAACTTTAGAAAAATCAAACTTGCCGTTCTAGGTTAATCTCGTACGGACAGACGGACGGACAGACGGCCAGACGGACGGACGGACGGTTCAATTACTATATGCCCGGGGCATAAAAATGTTTACCCTTTCACTCAGTTATAGACAGAAAATTGCAAAATGAAATGAAACACATATAAATGACTCGACAGAGTCATAACGTATTGTAATAGTGAAAAATATAGGCTGGCAAGACATTGTTTTGACTTATGATGAAGCTGAAAATATTCAACTTTATCAAATTTTTAAACAAATGCTAGACTTCCTTGAGCATAGGCACCCCATACTACAGAAAAATTTGAAGGTCCACCTAAGGTATGTACCTTGTAAATATAACATTGGTTAAAAAAATGACAAAGGCTGTATAAAAAAATGTAATAAAATATTCTTAGCAAAAGTGACATTGACCTTGTGACTCCCAGCACTTTGATTGTGACCCACGTACCTCTAACTTAATCCGAAGGACAAACACTATTCAAGATATCTTCCTACCCCTAACTTAATTCATAGGTTAAGAAGACGACGCAAGTTATTATCCTACCAATTATAAACGCTCCACGAATAGGTTTTGAACACTCTTGTTGTGTCAAAGTTATGTCACAGACAAAGTTCAGAATGTAAACATGAACAAAGAACAATAACCCCAAAATTAGGCAAGACAGAGTTATGGCTTTTGAGCACTGCACTTCTGCTCAATGAGATCTATCTACCTACAAAGTTTTATGTTGATACCTCTGATAGTTTTAGAGTTATGTCCCGGACAAAGTTCAAAGTGTAAACATAAACAAAGGGCAATAACTTAAAAAATAAGCAAGAAAAAGTTATGGTTCTTTTGCACTGCACTTTTACTCATGTGTATAAATCTATAAGTGCCCTCCATGACCCACTTACAATCAAAAGGAAGTCTAACATGCAAAGTTATCTTCATATTAAATAAGTAAGACATCTGTCCATGAAAAAAGGCTAAAATCTATTGTAGCACATGTGTCCTTGATCCAACTGGCCCCTATCTTAATGCAAAGGATGCAAATTATCAACCAAACTACACAAAAAAGAGGTTCTCCCTTGGCATGTTTGTATTTAACACTTAAAAGTAAAGGTTCGGTGAGCAAAATGTTTAAATTTATTTTTTACACCAGTGACCTTGTTCTTGACCCCAACAACCACAAAAATCAAGAAGAACATTTAAGGTATCCACCTACCTAATATGAAATATAGCATTAAATAACTGAAGTTATTAGGAGGAAGATAAATCCAACTTTCTGAAATAGGTTCACCATACAAGACCCTTTTTTAAAATCATAAAAAGAGAAATAACTGGGGAAAAATGGATGACACAGTTATTTAATATGGCAATAACATGAACTTTGTATTGATAAGTATGTGTGGAAATTATGAAGCCATAAGTATAGATAGAACTTGCCGGTTTACATGTTAACCATTATTCATTTTCTAAGTGCTGAAAAGGACAATAACTTTTGGAAGCCATAGTTATGTAACTTACGCAGATGATGAACTTTATATTGATTAGTAAGTGTGTAAATTATAAAGCCATTGGTACAGGAAGAACTTAACAAAAATCTAACTTGCCGTTTTAGGTTAACCTCGTGCGGACAGATGGACGGACGAGCGGTTTAATTACTATATACACGGGGCGTAAAGATAAAAAACCTAAAGTTTGATAAAAAAACAATATAAAGTAAAAGATATTGGGAAACATAGTAAGAAAACATATATAAGTATTTGGAGAAAAAATATTAATTAATTCATACATCGTAATCTCCCTTTGTAATATATGTCAAAGTTTTTGGAATGAGTCAATGTGACCTTGGCCGTGCAAAAGAAGCTATCTAAGTAATACTAATATTTCTGCAAAAAGTTAAAGACCGGACACGCAACATATTAAAAAAACAGACGGACGGACGACCAGGTGCATAACAATATTCGTCGAAATTATTTCTGACGTACAACTAGCCAGTGTATGTCACTTAAAAAACTTACTAATGATTTTCCTATAACTAGTAGTTCCATGTACCAACGTCTTGCCATTTAGTGCTCGTAAAAATGGCACGGACCATCGGCGTAGGCGCAGACAAAGATTACTTGACAATTCTCGTTGCATATTACATTTAAGCAATTGTTTTGATTCAAGTTAATCTTTTTGAACGAATGTTGTAGTCGCCATATAGAATCCAACATTAGCGACTCTGTTTGGAGATTGTTATTTATTTTATGGTTTCATATGATTTGTATATTTAATTAAAACATCTTGAGTGTATTCTGCTTACTTTTAAATGTGGCTGATGTATTATTGACAATGCTCCTTTCTTCCCAATACTTTATTTGAAACAAGAGATACTTGTTAGCTCCATTTTTCTTAGTATTGTATTGTATAAATTGGATAAGAAAGATTTAAGAATAGTAAAGCTAAAATACAGAAAGGAAAATTACATTTCTTGCAGATAAAGAAAATGGTATATATTTTGCATCCAGCATCATTCCATCCATACTGCGGAAAATTCATTACAACACAGTCTTCATATCCTCCTAAATCATTCGGTTCTCCCGGGTACCAATTAGTAACACTAGAATACACATTACACATTCTAATCAAGAGTATTTTAACGTTTTAATAAGCTGTTACCACAAAAATGAAGGCATAGCAATGAAAATAGAAATCCACTGAAAGTATTCAAGCTTGAAGTATTCATTTATAAATACTCAAAAACAGTGGAAAAATCTACCACAATATATATATATATTTTCCCATATGACAATTCTGTGAATTTCTTATGTATGCCTACATCAGAAGAAATAAGTAAAACACAAATAATTATCTCAATACAGATAAATGTAGAAAAGTTCCCAAGTTATGTTCCTACCAAACATGAGGAGAGACATTTGTCAATTGATAAATCTACCTGTCACCTTAAAAGCGCAATCTATGTTTGGCAACGATTATCTTGACCTTGACCAAAATTAACCCTTACGTTAACCCGAAGAAAGATTACCTGCCTAGGCAAGTCCATATTAACCCTTTACCACATATATACGCGAAACAACGCACTTTCGACCCCCCCCCCTTTTTGGGCCTCAAATAGGAAAAAAATGTCCTATTTGGGCCTAAACATAAGTTTTCGTTTGAGAAATGTTGCTAAAAAAATTGAGCAGTTTTTCGGCGCCGGCCCCCCCCCCCATCCAAAAGATACATCAGGGGGTTGCCAGAAGGGGGATGTGCCCCCTTCTGTTAGGGGGGTTTGAAGGGGGGCGGAGTCCCCCTCATCGCCAAGAAAATTTTGGACTTGTCAGAGGCTAAAAATGACCCCAGGTCGATCATAATGTAACGTTTAACCAACGCTGAAAAGCCTTTGACTCTATCTCAATCCCTTGAGAAGTTGCAGCACTTTGAAATAAATTTTGATGGAAAAAATCGAGGCAAAATAGTGATTTTTGGCAATTTTGAGATGCCCCCTCGTTGCCATAGTAACAGGAAATTTAAGACTGAGCATGTCGTTACAAAGGCAATGGTCCAGTCAACATTTGTGCCAAGTTTGATTAGTATTGAAGCATTTTTCATAGTTTCATAGCAGTTTGAACTTGTAACAGGAGGCTTTTCAGTGAAAACGGCCATTTTTCACAATATGCTCATGGGGGAAAGGGTTAAACACGAAATACATCAATTTAGAAAAAAAGGCTGTATAAGGAAAAAATGTAAAAAAAAGTATTTGTACACCAGTAACAATAACCTTGCCTTCAATGACGCCACAAATCCAAAAAAGTAAGAGGACCATTAAGGTACCCATGTCTCAAATATATGTAAGCATATAGATTTTTCCACTCGGTATGTCAGATGTTAAAAAAGAGGAAAGTGAAGCATCCAATTGTATAAGGTTGAACGCCATGCATGTATTATGCCATTAAAAACAAACATCAGAAGCCCTTTTTTTAATAACCGACTGACACAAAGACAGCGGGGAAAAGTTCAGTTACTTTAGTATTATTAATAAAAGAAATGTTTAATATAAATAATATATAATAATGTCTGAGAAGTTTGATCAAAGTGATAATAATGGTCAAAATCAATGCAAATTAAGGTTTACATAATCAGCCTATCAAACTCGGTTATTGCAATGAAACGGGAAATGGTACTTAACCCTTTACATCATATATACGCGAAAAAACGCACTTTCGACCCCCCTCCCTTCTTTTAGGCCTCAAATAGTGAAAAATGTCCTATTTTGGCCCAAAACACATGTTTTCGTTTGAGAAATGTTGATAAAAAGTGAGCACTTTGTGAGAGGCTAAAATGACCAAAGGTCGATCATAAGTTAACGCTGAAAAGCCTTTAACTCTAAATTCCTTGAGAATTTGCAACACTTTGAAATAAATTTTGATGGAACAAATCAAGGCAAAATAGTAATTTTGGCAATTTTGAGACGTCCTCTCGTTGCCATGGTAACAGGAAATTTAAGACTGAGCATGTCGTTATAAAGGCAATGGTCCAGTCAACATTTGTGCCAAGTTTGATTAGTATTGAAGCATTTCGCATAGTTTCATAGCAGTTTGAACGTGTAACAGGAGGCTTTTCAATGAAAATGGCCATTTTTCACAATATGCTCATGGGGGAAAGGGTTGAGACTGAGGGCCGGACCATACGTACCTTATATATTTTAATACGAAGGAAAGTGTTCAGTAAAAGTACAGAAACTGTCACGTGATCTTATATGATTACATAAAAACTACAATGTCAGGTAAGCAAAGCGAAAACGTTTTACATTCCATAATAGTTGAAAGAAAACTTTTACACGATCGTCCAGATTTGTTTGAGAAAGGAATTGAGGTGAAAGTGTAAAACAACCACAGAGTAAAAATAAAAAGAAATTCAACAAATATTTTGAGTGTTCGCTTTGTGTGCAAGCATTTGTTGGTTCGAGTATCAGGCGGAGCTCTTTTTTGTTATTTTAGTTTCTCAGCACATTAACAATACAAGAGATAATCTATTAAAATATATTATTTATGTTTCTTATTTTTCTTATTATGGGTTTAAAACCGCTTTCTTATTCTTATAATATTTCTGTTGAATAACAGAACAATAAATGCAAACTCTCTCCATAAAAATCAGAGATGGTACAGTATTTGAAAATGTTTTGCTTTCAAGTGGAATGAGGAATGTGTACCTTGCCAAAGGTTTGGCTTAAGAGATACTCATTATCTTCAGACTTACACTCTAATTACATATATAGCTGAGCGGATGGGCAAGTAATGGAAAAACATTAACAAGTATTAGTTTGCTCTGGAAAATGAGAATCCATGTATATAGAAGTGATATCCATGTATATAGAAGTGATATCTATGTATATAGAAGTGATATCCATGTATATAGAAGTGATATCCATGTATATAGAAGTGATACCCACAAATAAATGTTTTAATTTGTAATTTCACATTTGACCTTCAAGTAACACCTTGACTTTTGACACAAAACCTTAATTTGTCCCAAGTTATATAAACATCCCGCCACGCATGTAGACGTTAGGCTTCGGGCACAGGTTTTGCACGGACCTTCCATGTGTGACCTTGATCTTTGAGCAGCGGGCTTGGGTCTTGTGTGCAACACAACATCCTATCATGGTGAACATTTGTACTAAATTAATTTGAAATCCTTTAAAAAATAAGCATAATATAAGCTAAAGACCGGACAAAATTGTAATATTTTTATTTGACCTTTTGTGACCTTGACAAAAAACTCAACTCAAAGAACATTTCTGCTAAATTATATTAAAATATATCCATGTATATAGAAGTTATACTAGCAAATGAATGTTTTTTGTGGTTATTTGGCCTTTGAACCCTAAGTGTGACATTGACCTTTAAAACAGAATAGTAAATTTTTCATGCAACACTCCGTCTCACTATTGAGAACATTTGTTCCAAGTTATATCAAAATCCCTATAGGCAAGTAGAAGTTACGCTTCGGACACAAGATTTGCGCCGACTCTCAAGTTTCACCTTGAATTTGAGCGGCGGACCTTAGTTTTTGTGAGACATACCACCTTACCATGGTGAACATTTGTAACAAAATTGTATCCTTTAAAGAATGAGCAAGATATAGACAGGACAAATCCGGACGGACAGACAGACGGAGCTCATTTCTTTATTTCCCTTATTTTTTTTGTAAATGCAGGAGACAATTACTGATGATTGAAAGTACGGGAGCCTTTATTACGACCGCCACACCAACCAAAGAACATGTTTGTGAGCAACATTGTTCAAGAAGTCAAGGCAGAAATCACAATAAGCATCCGAGACACAATCTAGCCACTCCAATAGGGCTTATACTGGAAATAAAAAGTACACAGTAAGTAGCAAACTGTTTACCTTAATGGTGAGTTATCAGCCCAGACAAAAGTACCTTCGTTCATCCTGTCATTAGCTCCTATCCAAAATAGTGTAGGAGCATCTCCAGGTGTATAGTATAGTTCAATTAATACATCTGGAATATAAATTCATCAATCGTCTAACAGCATAGTCTTTAAGTCACACTTAATAGCTTGTCATGATTATGTGAATTTCAACCATTTGTGAAATCTTTTGATTAAAATACTACATTTACTATTACTGTTTTGGATAACGCTGTTGAAGATCAGTTTTCAGATTGTTTTAATCAGGAAACTGGTTTGAAGTTAAACAATGAATTGTACGATAAATTTACCGGTAAAACATATTCTAATGACTTCATTAATAATGCTACTGAAAAAGTACCTGCCTTTTTGTGTGAAGCAGCTAATAGTTGTAATTTGTTACTTAAGAAGAAAGTTTCTCATTCTGTTAATAAGAAGAACAATTAGGAGTGGTTTGATAATGATTGTGAAAATGCCAGACATCATTATCATACAATTAAAGTAAGCACAGAAGCACAGAAGTGCTGAATCATACAATCATATGGTAAGAAATAGTAAAGCCGCCTATAAAAAAGTTGAATAAGAAAATGAACATGTTTCAAAATGATGTTAATGAGAATATTTAAAAACCAGGGTAGTGCTAATGACCCTTATCATTTTGCTGGTATAACTATAACCAGTTGTTTTGGTAAACTTTTTACATCAGATTCTGTGTTATATAATAGATTGAACTTATTGTTAGACGATAATAATTTACAGTGTGAAGAGCAGGCAGGTTTAAGAAAAGGATATAGTGCAGTAGATAATATTTTTGCTTATTATTGACCTCCTCTTAACTAAGAAAAGAGTTTGTTTTGTGCATTAATTTCATAGATTACAAAAAAGCCTTTGATTCTGTGAATCGTTTGGCCATGTGGCGCAAACTGTTAAATATCAATATCAAAGTCAAAGTTGGCATAACTCATCTGACTTTTTAAACTAGTCACATTGGTTTACGGCAGAGGGAAAATTTTGCTCCTGTATTATTTTCATTGTTCTTAAATGATTTAGCAATTGTCTTCTAAGTTTGAAAGTTTAGAAACATTGTCAAAAGCTAACTTTGATACCTTAAGTACTAGTGATATTGTATATTTACGCTTGTATATTATGCTGTATGTTGATGACACGGTAATTTTAGCAAAAAGCCAAAGCGATGTACAGGATGCATTATTTGCGATTCAAGGTTATTGTGCGCTATGTGGATTAACTTTTAATGCTGCGAAAACCAAAATGTTATTTCTAGTAAATCCAAGTTAAATAATATAATTTGATTTTTTATGATAAAGGTAAACCTGACAGTGTTAATGACTTTTCTTATCTTGGTGTCCAGTTTAATTTAATGGAAACTTTATAAAAACAAAGAAATGTATTGTTGATCGAGCCAGAAAAGCTACGTTTTCATTAATCACTAAAGCTAGGAAGTTAAACTTACCAAATTCTCTTCAAGTATAACTCTTTGATTCTTTAATTACACGTATTTTGTTGCGTGATTCGGAGTCTGTTACTGATATAGTTAATTCTCCTTGGATTGCATTTGTAAAACTTGAAATGTTTCATCATGCAACGGATGCCCCCGCATGCAGCCAAATTTTCAGATGTTATAATATTTAGTTCCAAATTTGTTTGCACAAAATTTTTTTTTTTTCATTTTAAGTTCAAAGCCCTTAAAATTATTCAATGTTAACACAAACCATTTTTATACAATGGTCAAGGCACTGGAATTATTCAGTCTTAACCTTTTATAAATTGCATGTTGTATATTTGTAGCCAAAATAATGGCTACATACATTTCCACAAAAAAATGAGTGCTGAACTGAAAATTCAAAATTTTCCAACATTCATGAAAAATAAGTTTGTCTCTGCCAAAAATCATCACACTATGACCAAATTCCACATTGACCTGCGCATTCCTTTGACATATCCATATGTCAAATTTGAGTTGAATATGTAACACTTTTGTGAGAAAATGAACAGAAACTGATAAATTCATATTATTTTCAAAGTCAAAGGGAGATTATTCTGCCAAAAATCATTTAACCATGTCCAAATTCGAAATTGACCTGTCCATTTCTTTGGCGTATCCATATGTAAAGTTTGAGTTGAATGTGTTGTACCGTTGGGGAGATAATGTACGGAAACTTAATGAAACTGAAAATTTCATATTATTTTCAAAGTAAAAGGGGCATAACTCTGCCAAAAATCATTGAACCATGACCAAATTCGAATTTGACCTGTATTTTTTCTTTTTGGGATGGATGTGTTGTACCGTTGGGGAGATAATGAAAGGAAACTGAAAATTTCATATTATCATCATAACTGCCAAAAATCATCAGACCATAACCAAATTCAAACTTCACCTGTATTTTCTTATGTCAAATTTGAGTTGAATCTGTGCAACCGTTACTAAGATAATGAACGGAAACTGATGACGACGGAATGACAGAATGAAGGACGGAACTGGGTAACACTATATGACCCGGTCATTATATGGCGGGGGCATAAAAATGTTAAGATGAACTAGTTAGGTCTGAATGCTTTCTTACCCAAACAGTAGACGATCTTGACCATTTCAAATTGTAAGTTAAGAACAGACTGTCACAATATGATCAGTTTGTACAGAATAGGAATAGTACAGTGTTCAGTTCTGAACAATGTTTAGTGTATCAAACTTATAAGCTGAAAATAGTTTTGAGGAATATTATAATATATTGCCTAAAAATCTTTCTATTTATATGTGTAAGTTTAGAACTATGAATCATAAGTTTCCTATAGAGAAAGGTCGATATCTTAATATTGAACATGCTGTTAGAATATTTAACTTATGTACAAAAATTGTCTTGGAGATGAATTTCATAATCTTTTTGAATGCACACATTTTCCTAATGATAACAAGAAATATGTCGAAGGATATTATGTTAAACTTACTTAAGTTAAAGCAACTTATAAATTGTAAAAATAAAAATAAACTTATTGAACTTGCTTTTTTGTAAGCTTTTATTACAAAGTATCAACTGACTCATTCTCCAAAATTAGCTTATATATTATAATGAAGATGTTTTGTTTTTTTTTGTGTTTTTTTTTTGTTCTTGTTTTTTATGCAGAGAATCGTTAATTATGTTTTACATTGTTCGATAAGTGTTTGTATGCACTTGTGCTATAAACCTTTTATCATGGTTTTGTTTATATTTGTAGTTTTAATCACATGCATGTAATATTCCATGATTAAATAAACTAAACTATATGTTCTTGTTTTCTCTTCCGAAAAGGGTGACCATTTCAGTGTGTATAAAACAGGTTGTGCAATAAAGTTATGTGTAACACTAATACAAACAAAACATGAAATGAATAAGTATTCCATCCTTTTTGTGAAATAAAATATCCTGATAGAATATAACTGAATTAACTTGTGTTTTAGTCTTCAATGTCTGTTGCTAGCTAAATAGATCAGTAGTGAGAGACCTTGAATTTAAAAGTTTGAGTCCAAGTAAATGTTTGTTCTTTCGGTGAAAACGGATTACATTTTTTGTTACTACAATAGATCTATATCTAATGGTTTCGTACTATGCCGCTGTTAAAATATTCATGTGACAAATGAATCATGTTTAACAGCATATATATACAATAATATGTAACGTTTTAGAAATGTTCATTTATAAAAGGAGACAAATTGAAGGCGGCCGGATAGCTGTCGTAAGTAGCTCAGGACATTATTCCAAGAGTTCCAACTCCAAGTAAAGGTCAGTGTGCTTCTTTCTCACCCTGTGACACATGGAACAAAATCTCTTATAACTAAACCATCTTTAACTCGACTTACCTTTAAAAGTGTTTAGTTCATCCATATTGGAGAAAAACAAAAGATCAGCATTCTTCTCTAGACAGTGAGTTCTAGCATCTTCCCACTTCTTATTTTCCCTTACAAGTTGGTAACAGAAATTACTGGAGTAAATCCAGTCAGGACCGCAAAGCGGTGACGTCTGTGCTATAATTTATACAAAGAGAAAATATCACAATTACAAGAGAATATATGTAATGTATGTGCCAAGTTTTTAAATTTAACCATTCAAATTTAAAGAATTTCAATATGTCAACACAAAATGAGGTAACAGCAGAATATGCATATGACCGGTTTAGACATGACTTCGGTAATAAAAGTTTAAGTCATTGTCAAATTGTTTTTTAGTTTTTTATTAATATGAATACCATCAATGTTTGAATAAAAACGTTACGTTAAATTGGAAACTCACTGTTTATAACACTACTGTACGTGGCACACTTATTTTTCTTTTCTTTATTTTGTAGGATATCTATACTTTTTTATATAGATTTAATCTTTTTACGTTTTTTGATCTTTCTTTTTATTGTAAATTAACAGAAGACTTCCAATATTTTCTGTCGCACTGGATAAATGATATAAAAAGGAACACGGTGAAATTTAAATGCAAATAACAGAGCACTAAGCAAGAGAAAAGTTCGAAGCTGAAATCTATAAAACTTTTTTTTTATTCCTAAGTGGGATAAAAAGTATTCATCAAAAACTTGACAAACAAGAACTGACGTTGTGCACAGATATAAACCTCTTAAGCAGGGCCCAGTAGAAGACCGTGACTTCAATCCTGAATCAAAGACATGGTTACTATAAAAAAATAGTGTAATAATAATATAGAAACATAAACAAATACTTTCTCATATTCTAAGTGAGCCATATTAATTTCAAAGCATCCATGAATAAAGCATGAAGATATGTACGTTGACACAGAGATGACATTTGTGTTTTTTATTTATCTCGTGCGCACGAGATATTATTTCGTGGTCACGAGGTACTAACTCGTGCTCAAGAGATAAATAAGTGGTGCGCACGAATTACTATGTCGTGACCACGAGATTCTAAGTATTGGGAACGAGATAATTAGGTAGTGCGAAGAGTTACTATGTCCTGGCCACAGGTTACTAAGTCGTGCGCACGAGATACTTCTTCGTGGTCACGACTAACGAAGTCTTTCGCCCGAGATAATTAAGTGGAGCGCACGATACACTATATCCTTGCCACGAGTTACTTAGTCGTGCGCACGAGATAATAAAGTCTAGGGAACGAGTTAAAGTCTTGGGAACGAGTTACTATAGTAAGTCGTACGCTCGAGATAATTAATCAATAAGCTTACACTATATATGTGATTTCTTAAGTTAACCAGAAATATGTCATGGGACAATGTTCCCCCTACTTAACCTGCCTGTCACAGTGCCATGTATTTAAGTTATTGATTGGACAATGATTTCACATTTATATTTGTGACCCTTATTTTTGACTCAATGCCCTGAAACTATTAGTGTGCATCTTCTGATTAGGTGCAATGTACAAACTAGGTTATATAAACTCATTTGTTCTCAAGTTATTCATCAGACAAGGATTTTACACGAAGAGTAATGAGCACCCTGACCTATGACCTAAAACATCAATGCAGGCCATCTACGGACCATAGGCAATGTACCTACCAAATCAAATAAACCGTGGCTTATTCCCTCTCAATTTATCGTATGAACAAGATTAACGTACAGCAGATGGTCCCCATAAAGGGTCATAACTAAGTCAAAATTAAAGTCTGATCTATGGGCATTGAATAGTGATCTCTAAGACATGCACTAAGTTTAAAGTGAATGCCTTCAGTAGTTTCAAAGATTTATGTTGCACGAAAAACTTAAACCAGGAAATTTCTAAGTTTAAAAAGTTCCACTAAGTTCCAGGTAATTAAATCTCGTTCCAACGGCTTAGTAACTAGTGGCCACGACATAGTATCTCGTGCTCAAGACTTAGAAACTAACGGCCACGACATAGTATCTCGTGCTCAAGACTTAGTAACTAGTGGCCACGACATAGTATCTCGTGCTCAAGACATATTAACCTGTGGCCACGATATAGTATCTCGTGCGCACCATTTAATTATCTCGTGCCTATGACTAACTAACTCGTGGCCACGACATATTTTCTCGAGCGCACGTTAGAAACTCGTGGCCAAGACATGGCCACGACATAGTTTCTCGTGTACACCAATAAATTATCTCGTTTCCACGACTTAATAACTCGTTGCCACGACATAGTATCTCGTGCGCATGACTTAACTATCTCGTACTAAGTAACTCGTGCTCATGAGATAATCACTTGTAGCCATGACAGATTTTCGTGCGCACCACTTAATTATCTCGTGTCCACGACTATGTTTCTCGTGGGTACGACATAGCATCTCGAGCGCACGACTTAATCATTACGTTCCCACGACGTAGTAACTCGTAGCTGCGACATATATTCTTGCGCGCACAACTAAATTATCTTATTTCCCAAGACTCGTGGCCCAAACATAGTATCTCGTGCGCACCTCTTTATTATGTCATCATCTCTGTGCCACCGTAAATATGCCCAGAAAAAACATCAATGCATTGTTTTGATATACAAGTATAACCTTCACCTTTTAAACTGTCGGACATTTTTAAAATGTGGCACAGAAGCATGGCTAGTTATTTCAAAATTCATTCATGGATTACAGAATGTGTAACTGGGTATAACAATCGACGCACTTCATTGAGAATATACATTCACCTTAGAAACACTAGCTTGACCTTGATATTTATACTTCAACATTACAAAATACATCAGTGAATGACAAAAAGACATGGGCTGGACATGACTATCAATGCATATCATGACATTTGATATTCAAGTATTAACTGAAACCTTTTGTCTGCTGAGCTTAATTTTGTTAATTACATATCTTAATAAGAGCACATTTATGCATAATTATTTCTAAGTCAATGGATGAATGACAAACCTACGCACAGAAGAAGACATTATATTCGCAATCATTACGTTTGACATTTAAAGTGGAGATCTCACCTCTATACGCAAAACACCATCATCATTTAATTGTATCAAATAACTTAAAAGTCCATCATCGAATGACAGAATTGTTGATTGGACACAACCACCAATGCACTTTAATGACAAATTTCAAAACATCACTTTGTAATACAAATGTAACCTTGACCCTTTGAGCTAGAAATCCGATTTTTTTCACGGGACACAGTTATTTATATATTTATGCGTAATTATATTTCACACCCACCGAGGAATGACAGAATTCCTAACCAGAAACAATATATTATTGTCCTTTTAAAAAGTTCGTATCATGACTTTGACTGCAAGTGTGCCCTTGACCTTTCAGGAAGGGACCCGATTCTCGCGGACGTCACGTCGTCATTATGTTCAAAACATTTATGAAACTCTTATGCACGAAAATGACTTTTCCGCAACTAGCACGTAAACAAAATTCTGATAATGATAAGATTTCTATCCAAATCAAACTATTTTATGATAAATACATTTCTGCAAAATTTGGATACCAAATTTGCCATACATTTTCTACTTATGTTTACGAAATGTCCGGGTGACCAATGCACACTTTCTATGGCAACATACTATATTTTGGTTATATTTTATATATCCATCATTATGTATTATTTGATGAATTAGTGTTATATGTTTCTAGTCACATTATATTTTATATAATAATGTTTCTTATTTTATAACACACAGTTATGTTTAAGTTACATTTGTAGAATACAATTACGTTATTAACAAGTGTTACGATGTGTATTGTAAGACAATATAAAATTATATTGATAGAGAAAAAACACAAAAAACACTTACTCGATACTTTCATTGGTAAGTTACCAACCAGTATGGACCAAACATAAATCATATAAACGTGGTAATACAGCAATGTCTTCATGATGCTGAAACTGAGAGAAACAAAACATTATTGAAGTGGCTACCACGCAAACATTTCTCCCTTTAAAGGTTAGAGGTATATAACAAGAGGTGACTGTAGGACTATTCTCGCTTGACTATTCTCAGTGCTCGATATTATAACAAGATGCCAAATAATGTAGAAGAGACATCACATAGCTATCTTGGATCTTGGGTACCGATGATAAAAAGTTGTAAGTTCAAATTTTTAGAACTAAAATTAGATGCGGAGAACATATGGATTGGTATCGGCTTGATGATGTTTTCTGCCATTCTGATGTCACAAGTCACGTGGGATGGACCAAAGTAAGAATTTTTAGAATTAGAATAAGCTTGGAAAAACATATGAATTGGTATCGGTTTATTGATGTGTTCCGCCATTCTGATGTCACAAGTCACGTGGTGGGCCTATGTGTAAGAAATCTTGACAAAATGTCCATGTTGTCCAAAGTCATTGCCGACAGATCTGACAATTATTTATTGTTTGTAACATTCTTCATATTTCTTACCTTTTTGTAAAAAACGTGTAGTATAATTATTATCAATTTCAATCTAAACCATTAAAGGTCCTTTATTCCTCATTTTTTTCTTTTTATTTCCAAAAGCATACTCTGCATGATACTAGTATGTATGTAACCTACTCTAAAATCTGTATGTATGCATCATAAAGTTCATGTATGTCCTTTCTACAGAAAGAGAAACTTATTTGTTTCTAAAGCTTAATGTGCCTTTAAACCAAACACATAGAATAACTCCAATCGCAATTCAAGGAACATCTGTCTCTCACAACTTCGGTATTGCGGTCTTGAAAAATAACTGTTAAAGTTCCATGTTATAAAAAACAACTTGATATATGTTCAATTGGTTAGTTTCATTGAGAGTGAAATAATGTTTATTTCCCAAAATTTAAGATATTTGCATATGAACATTGACCTACAAATGACAGAATGACAATAAATAGCAGAAAATTGTTTTAAGTAAAAGTTATATCGTCTGCCTACAGTGCAAGTAGGGTTATGAATTTATTTGAGATTTAGCAACACGGCATGACAAATGTGATTTGTTTCTATAGTCCTCCTTAGAAGTATAAAGATATTTAGATTTTCTAACAGTAAATCATGAGAGGGGCACAGCACAGGGGGAATGCAATCGACGGTGACAATGTAAATAAACATTTGTATGCACACCTTATTATAGATAGAGTTATCATTTTCTAGTTCTTCGGGATCATTGATGACAGCACTATTAAGTGCTGAAAATTGATAACCGTTCAAGCCGGTGCTAGGGGCGTGAAGGATGTTCCACGTATTCATTATCCCTCATGCACAAACTCAATCAAACCGAGTCTGCAATTCTCTAGTAATTTTGTTGTGGTTAATGCTTTTGGGTTTTTTGGGAAACTGGTGTTAAAGTTACTTCTTTGAAAAATTGCACAATTTGCTTTTTTCTTAATTAATTTTCATTTATGATTCAATTCGAATGAATTATTTTAAATGCCTTGGACGAAATTTGTGGTTTTTTTGTTTGTTTATTATCGTACATAATTCTTAAAGCTACATGCCTCCATATGAGTCAAAGTATTTCAATAAAATCAAACTTTGTGAAAAATGTATTAAGATTCAAGGAAAAGTAAAAAGTTTTGAAGATCAAGTAATATTTTACATATATGTGATTAATGACTGATTTTTTTCAGTATTTACAATTATAGTTCCACTGCGTTACGAACGGAGTTAAGGCTATTTATGCATATTTGACCACTTTTTGGTAATATACGTGTTTGTATGTGTCATTGATAATGTGTAAATTGCTTGCTGTTGGTTACTTCACAATATTGCGCATTAAATTCATTATTTTTTTCAAAATTTTCATGAAAATTAGCATGAATCTGGAGGCCTGCTGCTTTACACATGTCGCTTTGAACGGTATTGTGTACTTTTTATCATCTTTTTCAAAAATATACATGCTTTTGTTAAACTAAATATTATCATCGACATTTCATGTTTATTTTTCAACTTAGTTCTTTTTACCGTCTCAGAACTATATTGTCCAACAACATTGACCTAGCACTCTTGCATTTAACCCTGTAGTCGGTATATTCCGTAAAAGTTACGATCTACTTGTAAAAACGATATAAGTGTAAATATCCAATTGTTCAAATGATATTAATTAAATATCTCTTAGCGCAGTTGGTACAGGGGTCTCACTTGAGGAATGCAGACGTTAACTGGTAGGTTCGAATCCTATAACAGCGATTCCTTTTTTCTTTTTAATTTTAGTTTCAAATTTGACTATAACATAAAACTATTGCAAACCTTTTTTTGTTGTGTGTACTACCAGTGTAGTAATTTTCATAATTGCCTTTATAGCGTCTATGCGCTAAAGCATAATTATATTACGATTGCATGATGTCACAAAGAGAACCGTTGAAAGATAATGTAATGAAATAAAAAAATATATAGTTGTGTACAAAACACCACTTAGTTGTTCTAAAACCAGGTGTAGTAAAACGATTTTAAATTAATTCTTGCGACTAAAATTTTTAAAAAGAAAATCATAACGTGGTGGTGTTGATAAGGAATCGAACTAGATACCTACAGACCGGTAGTCCGGCATCTAAACCAATGCACCACACCTCACTGACGAGTGAAGTTAGAAAATGTATCGACATATTCAGCAGATACTGGTCAATGTTTATTCAAATGAGTGAAATGACCTTTACGGGTGTTAATGAAGTGACAGGTCAATATTGTTGGACAATAACTTGAGTCTTTGTTTACATAACAAGATTAATAACAATGCGAAAAAAAGGTAAGACAGACTGGAACCTAATAAATAAAAAACAATGTAAAACGTCATATGTTCAAGTATCTTGATAGAGCAGGATAGGCCGGGCGCCAATGTCAGTGTTCTATTCCTGCATTTACATTTTCGAATCATTGTTAGGTACTATTACATTCGAGTGTTTTAGGTCTCTCTTATTTGGCCGTTTTTTAAATAGTTACAGAATATTTGTACACGTGCTGATATGCACGTGCGTTAAATTTGCGAAAAACGTTAAACATCAGGAAAAAGCATAAGATAAAAAATAATGAAATGAATATGTATTGATCCATGAATTTAAGTTTAATATTTCGTAATCGTAGTGTGTTTAGAATACATGTAGTTTGATCTTTAAAATGTAAAATACAATAAAAAAAATCACTTGATATGTAGTTGTTTTCTTTATAAAGAGGGAAACAAAAAAGAAACAAAATATAGAAATAGAAAGAACCAAATATATTCAATGATCATACACAAGACAAAGTAAATAAACAGTGAGGAACACAATAACTACATCATAATAACTTGACAGAGGGAAGGGTTCGAACCTATGATTGCAAAATAGTAAAATTTACAGTTACGTTAATTTACCAACTGAGCCACTACGATGGTACACATTCTTATTAGATGTTATATCGGATAATATGCAGACTTACCCTTTAATGGACTTTCCCAAGTACCGTTAGGATCAAATTAACAACCCAGGACAATAAATTATTATGAAAAGGCCGGTTAAGGCTACCAGTGGGGAAAAGAAGATTTAAATATTCAAGATAATACTGGAGGCATGCGATTAAGGCTGCGTGCCTCCAGATGAACCAAAATAGTGCAAGAAAATCAAACTTGAGAATATGGTACTCAAATTTTAAGAAAAGTAAACGGCATAGGAACTCGAGAACGGGACCGCAGGTTGCGGCGCATATTTTCGATCGTGTAACGGTTTTTAGAAACGTTTCTGCTACATTTAAATATCTTTTAGTAATATCCGAGTATATGGCCTCAAAAAATATATGATCAATTGGACCCAATCTGTCTCTTTTAAAACTGGTCAAATTTTACGGTATTATAAAAAAAGACATGGAGTGACATCCGCCATTCGCCGCAACGTTTTCGGCATGAGATTTCCCCTTTGGCTACAATTGATTACTATTTTTCTCAGATTTTTTTCCCCGTTATTTTTGTCAACTATCAGGTTTCGTCCGGATATAACGTTCACGGTTTATGGTTTACACGTGTTGACTTGTATAGGCGGCATTATAACGGGCGTATTCGTGTTTTGATTTGTTCACATGGAGAAAACAGACACTTTAGTAATATGGTCCAACTGATTTTGCCTAACTGAAAAAAGGAGTATTAAAACATGATCCATAGATAAATATTTTAGGCACTCATCTGGTATTCATTACTTTAAAAATTAAAACAAAAATCAAGCATATCAAGGGGGATAACTTACGCCGAACGTTGCGGTAAATGGCGGATGTCACTCTTTTTCCATCGTCGGATACCCACGATTGATAAACATGTCACATAACATGCAATCAATGATTGTTAATGGTTCGGCCGTGGGTTTTTTTTTCAATATTTTTTTGATTGATTTTTAAATTAGCAGATTATATTAGATTAGATAATTAAGGACCACCGAGCCGGTGGCATAATATAAAAAGATATTCAAAGGTCAGACAAACAATATGTAAAGCCAGTACGGATTCGGATTTATGCGCCGCAATATGCGGTCCTGTTCCAGAGTTAGTCCTAATTATAAGACCTATACGTAACCTATTTCATATTTATCATTCATTAATCTGATATTTTACATTTTTCATTTTCCATGTTACGTTAGGTCTTAACAGATCTTTGCAAAATCGTGTAGCAAAAAAAATGACATTAGACATCGATTTAGATCTATTGAATTTAAACAATTAATACAGCCTGTATTTACATTAATTTTGACCTATTTATAAACAAAACTAAAAAATAAATACCTTTTAACAAAATAATTTAACTGTCACATCCGAAAAGTCATGATTAAATCCTCTCATTTAATTAAATTCCTTGTACAGCCGATATACAAATGGCCGCCATAAAGTGCGCGAAATCTGATTGGCTAATACAAATGCAAGCGTTTAAATGAGTCCAGAAGTTTCTAACGGAATATTTTTTTAATGAAATAATTGCCCATGCACCGTCAGTGTGTTCGAATATAT